TGGTATCATCTACTCAATTCCTGTAATTATAAATGACCACTTTCTATTAAATAATACATTTTCTTATAAAAATTATTTATTCCAATTTGCTGATTATCTTATTGGCTTTTCATTTTTAATATTATCTTTAATTCGTGATTGTAATTTTAATTATTGGCATAATAAAGGATGTGAATTTTGGTTAGAAATACGTGTACTTCTAGAGAATATTACTATTCTCTTAGGTATTTTGGTAATAAATAATTTGCTTATTAAGAATAGTGCAAGTAGCTTAAATGAGAAATATTTAAAAACATTGAAAGTGAATAGTAAATCATTAAAAAGTCAATAGATTTATGTAAATATAAGGATTTTCCACTTTGTCACTTTAATTTCTACTTCATTTTTTGTTTTATTAAAAGATGTTTGTTTGTTTGTATTTAACTGGTGAATTATATGTATTTTGTTTATTGAAATAGAAAATGCGAACAATAGTCTTTTGTAGAGTATCAGTCAGTCACAAACAACGTAGAACTTCGTAAGTACGTAACATCAGTTCCAGTTGCCATATCACATTAGCACAGAGATGCAGTGGTCGATTCAAATCCCGTAGTGGTAGAGGTGGTAAGAGTATAAGCAGTTATAGGAAAGATTAGGGTTTGATGTTATTCAAGGAGTGTAGTTCAGTGGGATAAATTTCGAAAGAGAAAACAAGAAAGGGACATGAAGAATACAGAAGATTAGAATTCGGCAGAACACAAAGAGTGGATGCACCTGCTCCATTGCAAACGATTTTAAGCCATGTCATTCAGGGTCTCTAACCATCGGTTGCTAACGTCTCACGGATCCCAACCAGATAGTCTACACCTACCAACATGGCTCAGTCCACCTGTCAGTGGCTTCATTGATTTGTGCCATCAAAGAGTGAATCCATTTGAACAGGGAAATTACAACATAGTTTAAAGAGAATGGTTTTGATATGACAATAATAGAATATTTGAGATTATTGTATTACTTAATAGGTAAAAATGTTTTATTGGGTCAAAACTTTTATCTGGTCGCCCCTAGCTTTCTTCCAATCTACTCCTACACCATAAAACATAACACGCCGGGGCAGTCGATGGTCGGGCATACGTAACACGTGTTTCAACCATCGTTTGAATTTCTTTGCTCACATCTGAGCTACAAAAAATGCTATTAAGTGTCGTTAACTTAAAGTCTTTATAAATCTCAATTCAATATAATGAATTATCCGTCAGAGAAGATTGAATCCATTTGAACAGGGAAATTACAACATAGTTTGAAGAGAATGGTTTTGGTAGATAATTGGCATGATAATAATAGAGTATTGGAGATTATTGTATTACTTAATATGTAAAAATGTTTTATTGGGTCAAAACTTAGCTTCAACAATCAAAAATTCTAAACGGTTAACCTATAACCGTCTTATCAATAGAAATGGACCATGTGAACAACATTTCCGTTATTACGAAGTCTTTTACCTCCCCGTATTTCTACAATTTCCTTGTCATACTGAGTGAAAATAAAGTAACCTCCAATGCTCTAGTCATCGCATAAATTATTTGAACTGAATTGCATTTTCGCTTTCTAAATAAACAATGAATTATCATTACTACATCTGTTTATGATGAGTCGCGTGAACAATGAAACGTCAAATATATTGCTCAGGAAATTATTTTCAATGTGGATTGTAAATTGAATCAATAAAGATAGAAATGCGATTAAAAACGCATGTATAAGGGGAAAGACGATTAGGAGACACTTGTTGTTACCCCTAACTTCTGTCTCTTTAACAAAATGAATAGAGTTGAAACATCGCAAATCAACGTATTTCTTTTCAGTTTGAGAAATATTATACTAGTCCTAAGGTTCACTTAGATTTGAGGTCTTGTATGAGTGCTACGATTTAACAGTCGTCTAAATCTAACTGAATTTACATTATACAACGGTCTGTAATTTAAATTTATCTATTGACAAATTAAATTGCTCTGTGTCAACACCATTTAGTTATCAAATATGTTTGTAATCACAATTGAAAAGATTTCTGATCCAATGTGGTACCTTTGGGAAAGTGCTCATCTTGCTACATAAACTTAAATTTCGTATCACTGTTCTAAAGTGAATTTCTGTGAATGATCTTTCGAATGTTTGGGTGAAAGAAAAGAATGCTGGTCAATAGGCGATATGCAATGGCACGATTTTTGTTGCCGAGTAATGGCTGTTTGCCAGACTGAATTATCGACTTAAACCTTCAATCAAACTACTATTAAAGGACAAAGCAGTTGTCTAATTAAGTAAAATGGAATACTTGTACACAAAATTTCGAACACAAGAATAATTATCATTAGAGGTCATTCCTTTAACAATTGAAGAATACAAAAACTAGAGGTTGTTTATTATGAAAAAGTAAAAGGTTACAGCAGGATCGCCACTGGCTTCTATTCTGAGCCATATCTGATAACGTCTCTACTCGAGAACGTTTAGATAGAACCGAATTTCCACCATAGACGAGCTGCTGTATAAGTCGAAAAATAAGGATAGACAGAGTAGGAATAAAAGAGAGTGAATAAATGACGTAGTAAATAATAACAATAGTAGTAATAATAATAATGTGAATCGTTTGATTAATAGTTGAAGCAAGAAAAGTATTTTCCATAATTATCGACAGTTCATCATATTTGTGTGCGGGCTGTGATACTGCTCGGATGCCCAGACCGAAGCAGGTGGTTATCTTAGGGGGCCACACCCCGAGCATTCGACCTGAAGGTCTGATCCGCAAGGCAGTGGAGCATCGTGAGGAGATGCCGTCCCACGGTAGCCGGTGACCATTTATTGGTTCATACGCCATTTGTTCCCGCAGGCTCATATGGAATTAATCCTTAAATATCAGGCTCAGTTGTTGTTCTGTCATATCAAAATTAAATTTGCCATCATAAAGATCTTCACTTTGAGAGAACGCTTTAGACTAAAATATTGTTAGTTAAACTTGAAAGTTTAAGAATTATCCGTTAATTCACGTATTAAATGCTAAGGATTGTCGAATGTGTTCATTCTTATATATAGGTCAGTAGAATTATCTAGACCTAATTTTTAAACAAGTTACGTTTAAATACTATATACGATTGAACATATTGATTTTAATTAAGATCAGCGAACTGAAGTGTAACTAATTATTGGAATATTTTAAAGTTATTTGACAGATAAATACTAGTCATTCTCAAGCAAACTTTTAGGCATTTTGAATGATCAATGAGTAGCACATAATGTTGTTTGTCTAGTCCTTAGTGCTGAGTGATAACGTCCAAGACTGCTTAACTAAATGATCCCAGTCCGAAATCACCAGGGTGCAATCGCTCCCTCTAAGTTATAGGCACGTTCTGCCGACGAGTGTCAACTAACACAATCTTGGTTGAAGGTTTCCTGTCTCATAACTCCGACCATCGAACATTAGATTCCTATCCATCAAATGACTTTCGCAGATTATTAACCAACAGACCTTTCTAAAGTTCAAACAAGAATTTCAATGGAAGCGTGATTTCATAAATATCAAGAAAGATGTATTTATAAATCAATGTCCTCATTTTTACTTGTCAGTTTTTTCTTCAAACTGTATATTTACTTTGTCAAATTTAGAACATTAAAGGGTTACACTTCGTCAAGTAGAATGACTTCAACAAAAATACTGTTATTTCTAAAACAAAACTAAAATATACGCGGAGATAGTTGCCAGCATTGATGCAAACAGTTCACTGCAAGCACTGATATGTTTACGATTAGAAAGCTCTTAGGATGCTTATGTACTTTTCTTATCGAACGTTCCAACGATATACTGGTATGAAAAACTGATTACGGTAGCCAAACGAAGTCTTTGGATCAAGAAATACAAGTACGTTCGGGCGTCTACTGTTATACATGCATTCTGAAACCTGGAGGGTGGACATTTCATACATTCATCTTGAAGACCATAAACATTCTGGTTTTATTGGTTTAACTATCTCAGAGTTCCAGCTTAACATTGGATGGTTGTCAGTCCTTATATCTCAGACAATATTAGTCAGGATGACTCCTCTCCTTTCTGATAAACTGGGACAACTAAGGTTTATGTCCAACCCTTAAAGCAGCTAATATCTCAGTAATTCGAACTTTCAAGACTGGACTGTGGTGTGTGCTACTTACATCGACATAAGTAGTATATGATGTCAGTCAGGAACAGGTCTGGCAGCAGAGAGACAAGAGGATCGAACAGTAAAGAATGGGGACCGAATGCAATTTGTATGAAAATGCAAGAACAATGAAGTCTGAGTCATTATGAGACAATTGATGGACATTTTGCAAATTACGTATTTACTATTTGGTTGTTAGATTTTATTAACAAGTCCTGTGATTTTGTGTCAAATACATTCGATTGTCCCCACCCGTGTTCTGTTCACTACAGGACCACTGTCCCTGCAGACCTTTGTAAATGACCCATCAAAACTTGTTCCTCGAACTCGTTTACTTACTTCATAGCTGAAAGTTAGAGGCCTGACCTTAATTAAATTGGCTTCCAAAATCATACTTTAAATGATCTCAGATTGTCTCAGAATCCATGCCTGTATCCAGCTAGTTCATTCTTTTCAATATCCTTAAAGTTCGTGCTGATCTTTAAGTCTCTCAGTTGAGACTTCTGTATTAACGAAGACACGGATACGTGTTCCAGAAAGGGCGAAAATTCATGTTAAACCAATGTAATTATGATCGATAGCGATGCAGTATATTCGTACTAACGGTTAAGATGATTTCGGAGATTCCGAGGTTAGACATTACCTCTTATGTCCAAGGTTAATAATACTAGAAAAAACAGTCAAGTGAACAAACCTTCAACAAACGGTAACCGTTATATCTTCTAACTTAAAGTCATAAGTTATCTTTCCACTGACTTTCGATATTGTATGATGTTACTACAATTTATGAAGATGAAATAGTTACTTCACTTTAAGATTTCAACAACAAAAAACAAATTCGTATTTATAAATTAAATTAAAAATTGGAGAAAAATTAATGGGGATTCACTATAAATAGTCAGTAAGTTAACCGAATTCGAGAAAATACGTGATTAATGAGATTATATGGTCTAGACAGTTCTCGTCTCCGGTTTCTTGTGTTTATACTGATTGAAATAGATTAGCATTTTCTTAATCTCTCCAATAGCCAAACCAGGATTCAATCCCTAGAAAGGTTCACATAAAATGTATACAAATATAAATTAACATATATTTACAAACTACCTAGGAGCATTAATATATATATATATATATATATATATATATATATATATATATATATATATATATATATACAAACTGATAATACGTATATATAGATGTTTAAGAAACATATACAACTTATTGGTCACAGCCAGTCATGATCCTTGTTATTTTAAATGTTATAGTCTTCAGTGTACGTATCAAGAATTGATTGCCGAAATTTTGTTTTTCAACTCGCATAATGTCCTCACAAGCTAGTTGATCATGCCAAGCATACAGAACTTGTCCTTCATATGCTATTGTCACTATCCCCGTAGCGACATAGTCAGTCTTGTTACTGTCACACGTTATCGATGTCCACGGATCATACTGTACTGTTCATGACATTGCATCTCCAGCGATCGCTTACCGCTTTAAGTATAGCTAACCTAAAATTTTCCGAGTGATATATGAACGAACACTTGCAAGCTAACGATACATCATTGTCTAAGTTAATTTGCTCCAATCGGCGAGTATATATCTGGTGCCCCCTTGTACCAATATTTATGTGTTTAAATAAAATAATAAATAAAATTGTTTGCTCCAAGATAACAATGAAAACTTTAATAAAAGGTACTTGAGTAAAAAGACCGAAATACTACAAAGTTATTTCCGAAAGTGCGATCAGTTGTCAAATATTAAGTGGAGGAAAAGTCAGATTTTGCTAATATCTTCGTTCTTGGGGAAGGATCTTTTACTATCGATTACAAAAACCAAATCATCATCATCATTAGAAAACCCCAAATAGATTACACACGACTGAATTGATCTGTTGTTGAACATTGGTTCAAGTATTATAAAACATGCACACAATATGAAATTGCGATGTCAACAAGACAAGACTGTGAGTACGAGGAGTGATGGTATGCTAACAGTTGAAATCTGTTTTCAGAGAAATGTAACCGTTTCAAGAAAATGTCCAAATAATTTTTATAGTAGAACTGAATGTAAATGTTTGACACGTTTAAATCAATTCACTTACTTTTGGGCAAGTTTCTGTGCAATTCATAATAGTATGACATCGATAAAGTGACCACTTGTTTTGGAACTCAGCCAAACGTTCATACGTATAATCATCACGTGAATCGACTAACCATCTGCAAGAGATATATCGAAAATGCACTGCAATTTTAAATGGATAATTTTTGGTACATAACTAAATAATGAGTTTATTTCGCAAAACATTAACAATCTTACCCAGAAGAAACGATAATTCGACACACTAACCAAAATTATACATATTTAGTCAATGTGGTTGTTAATTGCGATGTGAGGATTACGGATTATGTTACGTAGAATGAATATTTTCAACATCGCTTAATTCATATTCTAGTAAGTGCGAGCGAGCAGCTTTGCTCGTTAATCTACGAGAATATACACAAAAAGAAACAACAAGCAATAGTAATATTAAAATAAGTTACTTTTAATTGAACTGTTTTCGCACTGGGAATCTGAAGGACAACCGATGCAAGAATTTACTTCTGTTATTTACATTTCCAGCCAGACAATTTAAGCTGACTTCTCTTAGTAATTCAAACTTATAGGTAGTACATTCAACCAATTTCCATTTAAAAGTTATTTAATAGTAGCCAGAACTCATCGCAAACAAGTTATAACATCGACGAAATAAAATATTCTTTCTTTTAAAGTGAAATCTTATCTATAAATGTAAGTAACTCCGTTCATAAAACACCATTTAATGAATAAATTTGTGAAATCTTAGGTATTCGTTTAACACTTGCCTGTAAGCCTGAAGTAGGACAGCGGGACCCAAATACTTATCACCATTCCACCAATAAGATGGACACGAAGTAGAACAACAGGCACACAAAATGCATTCATAAAGTCCATCTAACTTTGCTCTGTCTTCCACTGACTGATAATAAGTCTTTTTCCCAATATCTTCTTCAGACACATTCTTTTTCTTTAAATAAGGCTCAATAAAACGGTACTGAGCATAAAAATTATTCATATCTGGAATTAGATCCTTAATTACGTACATATGAGGCAATGGATATATTTTAGTTGTCTTGCTAACATCTGGATCTATTTCCCTAAAAAAGCAAAACAAATGCACAAAAAGTACTGGTAATGATACATTAATTACATGGGCTTCAATACTAAAAATATGAAAGTAAACAATTCATAGGAGTAGCATACCATATACAGGCAAGGTGATTACGACCCTCTATATTCATTGCACAAGAACCACATATGCCCTCACGGCAAGAACGTCGAAATGTCAGAGTAGGATCCTGTTCATTCTTTATCTTGATTAAAGCATCCAAGACCATGGGTCCGCAATCATTAAGATCGACTTGATAATTTTGCATAGTGGGTTTTTCGCCACGTTTATCTGGGTTCTGTGTGAAAAAAAAGAAATGGTGATAAGCACTTAGGAAAGTATCCATGAAAATTTTGTTGCGAAAAAATCATAAGGTCAAACTCTCTATACAGATCGTGATTCTTCAATTCACAAACACAAGTTGTGTTAAATACTCGCTCCCACTCAAACAGCTTTCCAAACATTCCACATCGATGCTGACACTGTCAGCTTCACGAACTTTAATAGCCACGGGAACTCAACTATGAATCCCGGCCATATCACGCTACAGATGTGGGACGCTTATCATTCTCTAAACGGTTGATTTAATAGTATAACTTTTCTCCAACTCAGTTTGCTTTCACATACACCTTTCCTCCAACTATTTGCCCTTTTGTTTGCTAGTATTAGAAGTTTTATATGCAAGGTATGTGGAGACCAATATTATCCCATTCTGTTGTATCCAGTCGCAGATGACCTGACCCTTCTATCCTATAAACACCAACGAATGCGGGTCAAGACAAACAATGTAGCAACAGTCTGCATCAGTAGGCCTCAACATACACAAAGGAGAAAGTCAGATACCCGAATACAACACGGAGAACACCAACCCAATCTCACTTGATGGAGAAGCTCTGGAAGGTGTGAAATCTTCCATGTGCCTGGAAAGCATAATCGATAAACAAGGATGACATACGGCACTCAAAACAACTGTTAATCTATATCAAAGTAAGAATCTTCAATGCGAATGTCAAGACAGTCCTACTGTACGGAGCTGAAACTTAGAGAACCACTAAAAGCATCATCAAAATGGTACAAGTAGTTATAAAAAATTGTCGACGAAAGATACTCAATGTTCGTTGGCCGGAAACCATCAGCAACAGCCTAATGTTAGAGAGAACAAATCAGCTGCCAGCTGAAGAGGAAATTAGGAGAAGACGTTGGAAGTGGATAGGACATACATTACGGAAATCACCAAGCTGAATCACGAGGCAAGCTTTAACTTGGAATCCTGAAGGGAGACGGAAAAGAGGAAGACCGAAGAACACACTACGTCGGGAATTGAAAGTAGGCATGAAAAGGGTGAATAGCAACTGGAAATAATTGTCCAAAACAGAGTTCGATAGAGGATGCTAGTTGGTAGCCTATGCTCCTCCAGGTGTGGTAACAGGCGTAAGTAAGGAAGTAGTATCCAGGATACTTTCAAGTAAATGATAAAACATAAAAACCCTTGTCAAAGATTTAGTGTTAAATTATGCCATGAAACGAAATAAATATTGGGAGGAAACGAAGTTATCAGACCTCGGATACTAAGTATCTCAATAAAAGCAAGAACAGTTGTGACCGTGGAGTTTCATTTTAACCCCTAATCCAAAACATAATAAACTAATGAAACAACAGAACTTACCCATCTGTAAATGGAAAAGGTCTTCATAAGTGGAGCTGATTCCGCTGCAGTTGAAGCGCAACGAACCTGCATTACAAAGATGAAAAAACACTACATAGAACCTAGAGTATATGGGACGTCTTTACATGATTATCGAGATCCAAAGCACCACTATTAAACAATTGTAATGCATTGGAACAAAAATTATGCACGTTCAGGAATTTCTTCGAAGGTGCGCACACGCATAGTTTTTTTATTTTAACACATAGATATTGGTACAAGGAGGCAGCAAATACATATGCACCACACAGATCTCATTTGATATATGTAAGGGCTGTGATACTGCCCAGGTGCCCAAACCGAAGCAGGTGGTTTTCTTAGGGGGCCACACCCCGGACCTTCGACCTGAAGGTCTAATCCACAAGGCAGTGGAGCAACGTAAGGATATGCATTCCCATGGTAGCCGGTGACCAACGATTGGTTCCTACGCCATCTGTTCCTTCAGGTTGCTGGAGCCTATGTGCACCATTGGTTTGGAATTGTGGTTTTCCAACCCCGTAAGTGGACCCTCCATGTCTACCAAACCGGGTAAAGCGCCGGACGTTCGCCTTTTGTCCTCTCAATTTCGTAAACAACACCCCCGCCACGAGAAGACAGTGAGTAGGACTTCCCTGGCAGAGGCTATATAAGCGTGGCCATGTGAGAGCATTTCGAGAGGCAGAGCCAACTCTCCCCACTCTCGGCCGTACCAGGGCATTTGGAGGCGCACATGCATAGGGCTTTCTACAAAAATTGAATTTAGATATAGTATGACCACATCACCTTAAAAACCAAAATGTACGAGTACTAAAATCATAGTATCACATTGACGAAATCAATTTTTTAAAACCAGTTCCATGGTTTTCTACCTAAGCAAAGACTTACAAAGGGCCAGTCGTGACCCATTGGGTCTGAAAGGACAAAACAGTGCAAGGAATTCATGTAATGTGTTTGGACTAGAGTTGTTGGAAAAGACCTACGGAAGATGTAGGTTAAAAAATGTGACTAGAAGAGCAACGAGACTTTCTAACAGAACTATATTCTATACCAACCACCTTTAACAGACATTCTGATCAATAAACAGACCAGGTAGATTTGTTTAGCTGGTGTAGACTCATGTATATTCATTCAGTTAACCTTTCTTCATTACTGACAAGCATGGATCTTTTAGCTTGGGGATGTGTGAGAAAATCCGCTACAAAAATCAAAAATTATTTTAGGCTATATTTTCGTCTTACTACTAAAAGTTTAAATCAGAGTATGAAGACAGTGGTGCGGAACTTTCGAGAGTTCCGCACATAGGCCGAAATCGGAATATTAACTAAAATTGCGTCAGAAAATGCAAATAGTTAGTGATAGACTTCTATTACATATTCAGTGTGTTAACATGAATTCTTATCACAGTTAGTATAACTGACTTACGAGACTGAAGGCTGATGATAGCGAGAAAGTCAGGGACTTCCACATAATGAACTTCAATATGCAATAGTTTCTTCTTTGAGTGCTGGAAACACGAAGGTGTCAAGCTGAATATATGGGAAATATGCAGCCTAAAACTAGAAACGCAAGAATCAAAATACAGTAATACAGACGTCAAGGTCAATGACAAGTGTATTCCGCGTCAGTCAGTTAACAATATCAAATGGTTCAAATGGTTGTGGACAGAATAGAAGAAGCTTTCGCTTAACGGGCTTCCGTGTCCGCTAGCCGTGGATCACCAATACCTCCAGGCAGGAACCTAGGTATATTAACGGTGAAAGAGGAAAAATAAACTGGTAAATCATAGTAAAATATTATCCTTAGACCTTGACAACAGGTCAAGTTTCCTCTTAAAGGACTCCTGGGAATTAGCTTGGACTAGCTCAGCCGACAGCTAATTCCACCATTTAACAACTCTTAAGGAGTAGGAACTGCGTCCATAGTCCGTTCTACTGTGTTGTTTCTCCAGTTTCTGGGTGTTAACCCTTAGGTTTGTGTTTGAGCTAAACTTAAGTAGATGTTTAAGGGGATGTCCATAAGTGTTAAGGATGCTGGAAGCCATTAGATGGTCACCTCTGGGACGTCTGTACTCTAATAGGCAAAGGTTCAGTGATTGGAGGCGCACTTCATAAGGCTTGAATTTGGGTCCTCGAACTGATTTCGTGGCTCGCCGTTGGATTCGTCCCAGAGCGTCCTTATACTTTTAGAATGAGGGAGGAAACATTACGTTTCCGTACTCTAAATGGGGACGAATGAAAGTGTTGAAGAATATGTGATAATTTCTTCCGTCAAACTGGCCAAAAATGCGCTTCAATGTTACTAGTGCAAGGTTCTCTCGAAAGGCATTTTTGTCACATTTAGCGTAAGACTTCAAATCATAGGGTACAAACACTGCTAAATCTTTTTCAGCATGGGCTACTTCTGGAGAGGAGTTTTCTAAGTTGCAACTGTAGTCTGCAACATGTTTCAGATGGATTACTTTATACTTTGAAGTGTCAAAGGTAAGTCCATTTTCATCTGCCAAGATATAAGGTCGAGCCAGATCCTCCTGAAGTACCAGTACATCCTCACGGTTGCATGTCTATCTCAAAAGTTTCACATCATCAATAAGAAGTAATAAATCTGGCAACACCTGCTGATGAAGATCGTTTATATAAATCAAGAATAGAAGAGGTTTCAGTACTGAACATTGGGGCCCCCATCAGGACTTTTCATAGCCCGAGAGAGTGAAGATAACCTTGACCTTAAAATGTCGATTTTTTTAGATATGAAGTTAGCCAATCAATTAAGGGCGATTAGACACCTGGTCGTTCGAGCTTATTGATAAGACATATGCGGTTGACCCTATCAAAAGCTTTTAAGAAGTCAAGTTAAATGACATCAACCTTCCCATTGCGATCAAAGATGGTTGTCTATCTGTCCACCGCAGTCAACTGGTTGATTATACAAGAATTACCCTTCCTGAAACCGTGCTGATGGAGTGGAAAGAAGTTTAAGGACAATAAATGGTCGTGTATACCGTCGCATATCAGGGACACCATGATTTTTGAAGGTGTATGGAGAAGGGTCACTGGTCAGTAGCTTAAATGTTCGCTACGTCCACCCCCTTTGAAAATTGGTGTGACGTGAGCCAGCTTCCAAATTTCAGATAATGTGTTGCCAGGATTGAAGTTAGTTCCCTTAGTATGGCAGAATGAACCATATCCAGGCCAGAATTGTCTTTTCTTGGGTGCTGCGGTTTCCAGTACACCAAGTCAGAGCTCAGGCTCATTTCCGAAAGTACTGTGCAGTTGCAGATGAAGCGTTCATCAATATAGTTAATGTGGGTCAGTTGAAATGTCCGAGAGTTCAAGTGTTCATTCACTTTCTTATTTTGTATAGGCGTTATATTTCCTATTATCTTATATTGAATGTTTCGAGGCTTTGTTTGTCTGAACAAATAATCCCACACTCAACTGTGATTGAGCGAAGATCTTAATAAAGACCTATTCACCACTAGTCTGGTTTCTTCTATCAATAGCACGAGGGTTATATACAGGCATGAAATATCTTCATCAACCGGGGTCTAGAATCTCTGTCCTTTTTGGAGAGTCTCATCAATTGTTGAGTCAATATGTTTTTGAGCTTCAACGATTGTTCAATGAATTTCTATTCCCCAATATCAGAGTTCGTGTGGTCAGGGTTCGTTTTTTCGGTACACCATGAAGAGTGATATTTTTTCCACGGAAAAACTCCATGAGAGATTCCTTAGATGTGTTCCTGATGTGATTGCTCTCAGAATACGGTATGTCAGGCAGTATTCTTACATTCCCATCTGAGTTCAGTAAGTAACTAACTAGTGGGATAACCTATAAGTCGGTAGTGTTAGTAAATGTTACATAAAGTAGCCTTGATGCTAATATCTTTGTCACGAGCTAGTATAAACCGATTGATTTCTGTTCCGACACAGTTCTGTGTATCTTTTAATATCCAAACGGCCATTCAACTGAACCAATTATGGTCAGTTTGGTAGATACTTGCAGATTAATATATCATGTAGTTGGAGTGAGAACTTTTGTCTCAGGGTGGTAGGAATCACGGATACTATAATCTATTACATTACTAGGCACCAGTTTGGTTGGCTATAAAAAGAAAAATATTGGTAAATTGTGCTAGCATAATGTCTTGAGTTCTTGATAATCTATCACGTTTTCTCTTAAAGGAATCCTGAGACGTCTCTTGGACTACTTTAGCAGGCAGCGAGTCGCGGAATCCCACTACACACAGAGTAAAATGTGTGCCTACAATCCGTCCTGCTATGCTGTGTCTCAAATTTCTGGGTGTTAGCCTTAAAGTTTGTGCTGGAACTGATGTTACGTAGGTGTATAGGGGGATGTTTAGGAGTGGTAAATAAGTCACTTCTGCGACGCCTATACTCTTTTAGGTAAGGGTCCAGTGATTTACGACGTTTTCATAGGGTTTAAATTTGAGTCCTCGAACGTGGCTCAACTTTGGATAAATTCCACAGTATTTTTGTCTTTTCGGAGTGAAAGAAGAAACACCTTTATTTCATACTGTAAGTGGGGTGGAGAGAAAACTGTCAAACATTTACTCGAAAGTACTACTGTAGAACTGGCCAAAAGTGCGCCTCAACGTTCCCAGTTCACAATTTGTTCGGAGGGCATTTTTGTAGAAGTTAGCTTAAGATATTTAATCACGGTGCACCAAAACTCCTAGATCTTTGTCAACCGGGTATGCCTCTAGAGGGGAGTTACCAACGTTGTGTATATAATTTACAACATGGACAACTTTATATTTTGAAGTATCGAAAGTTAGTCCCTAGATTTTCGCACAAATTTGAGGCCGAGACGGATCCTCATGGAGTGTCAGTTTATAATTTTGGTAACAAAAGTCTCACCAAATGTTTATATATTCAATGGAAAGCAAGAAATCGAATGATGCTTGTTGATGGAGGTCATTTGTATAAATTAAGAGAAGCGGAGATCCCAGTACTGAGCCTCGAGGAACCTCACTAAAACACTCTGTAGACTGAGAGAACATGAAGTTCGTTCTGACCCTAAATGTCGATTATTTAGATCTAAAGTAAACCAGTTTGTTAACGATGGCTAGATACCTAGCCGTTCCAGCCTATAGACGAGGTATATATGGGTGACTTCATCAAACGCTTCTGATAAGTCGATGTATATAACACCAACCTTTCTCTTGCGACAAAGATTGCCTGTCCATCTGCCCACTGCAGTCATCAGGCTGATTATGCAAGAATGACACTTCTTGGGACAATGCTGATCGGGTTAAAAGAAGTTTGCGGATATTAAGTAGTCATGTAGATCATCGCATATTAAGTGCAACGTAAGTTTTAGGGTACTAGGAGAAGTGATAACGGTCGGTAACTTGCAGGTTCTCTGCGTCAGTCTCCTTTGAAAATCGGCGTAGTGTGAGTCAGCCTCTAATTGTCTAGCATCGTGGCGTGATTTAGCGAATGCAACGACATCCCACAAAGCTGTGTTAAAATTGAAGCCGCTCCTCCTAATATAGAACAGTGAATCATTCCAGGGCCATTTGAGGTGTCGCTGTTTAGACGTATTAGTATTTGGCACATTAAGTCAGAGATCAAGATCATTCTCAAGGCCCCTGTTGCGTTGGAGGTGACGCTCTCGTCGATGTAATTTGTAGCGGTTGGAATGTTTAAAAATACTGCTCTGTGAGGAGCTCAAATGTATCAACAATTTGTTGATCAGGCAACTAAGACCTAACGACTGGAATATTTTGGATTCGGCTTGTCGAAGAGAGTGTGCACGCCAGAGTAAGCTTTTTGGATCAGAGACACATTTAACGTTTGGCTTGACCTGACACTGAGGCCTGTCTTTACCTATCGCCTCTAAAGGTCAGTTTCTTGCCTGTTTGAACTGCCTGTACGCGCTGTTGTTATTAGTTCGGTTGTATTTTACCCAGTAGTAGATTTTGGGTCTTAGCATTTGAAGACTGTGATCCTTCATGACTGCATGTTGCTTGTGACTTTTAGAGAACACTAATGAGACGGGCTGGTTCTAGTTTCGTAAAACCGTGCTCAGCAAAAATCCCAATGGGTGTTCGCCTTAAGTTGAGAGAGAACTTCCCGTTCCAACTGCCGTAAATTTTCCTGTTGGGCTGACACGTCCAAACGTTTGATTTTCAAGCGCCTGCCGTTGGTGAGATGTTTCAGTACAGTTTTGTTGGCAAGATTGAAGGCTATGGAAGTGTAATTGCTCGTTCGCACGAGAGCCAGTATTAAGAGGTTGCCAATCAAAGATTTTTCGTTGATGGAGACGCAGTCTAAGCATGAAGGCATCCGACTGTTTCTCCACAGAGTTGCCAATTCCATTTCTTCGAATAATAAAAAATCTTCGATGAAGTTGGAAAAAATGACCTTTAGTAGAGTTGTCACCTTCAATGAACGTGTGTGCAATGAAGTTGACTTCAGAAAGATTAAAGTTTCCTAAATTCGAGGTGTGAGTGTGCCCATGACGAATAGAGCCGGATAACGCCTGAAGTATACGATTATCGCGCTCATTGCCAGTACTGGCTTCTCTGTAAATGTCCACAACTAGATATCTCAAGGTGTTGGACAATCTCGCTGAGCATCAAAATTGAAAAATGCTTGAGTATATACTTGATGTGCTACCAGGCGAGATCGTAAGTACATAGTCATTACTCCCTATTGGTGAGTTGGCATGGACCTTCGCAACAAGAGGCTTAACATTTATCCTCAAACAATTTAAATTTAAGGGTTTTCCACCCTTGTTCCATTCCTTGGCGTCACACATATTCAGTCAATCCTGAACATTTGATGGCCGTGGAACCACTTTGTAGGAGTGTGGTGTGTGCTACTTATATCGACATAAGTGGTATATGATGTTAGTCAGAAACAGAAGGTCTAGAAGCACAGAGACAAGAGGATCGAACAGTAAGGAATGTGAACAGAATGCAATTTGTGTGAAAATGCAAGAACAATGAAGTCTGAGTCATTTTGAGACAACTGGTGGATATTTTGCAAATTAAGCATTTACTTTATGATTGTTAGATTTTATAAACAAGTTCTGTAATTTTGTGTTAAGTACATTCGATTGTTCCCACTGGTGTTCTTATCCATTACTGGAGTTGTAACCTACTTCATTTATGAGGTTCTGAAATCTCTGGCCACCAGTATTTGGTTGAACCCTATGAGTGGTAACTTTAATATAATCTGTAACATTTTATCTTTTTGGTGTTAGAACCTATGGAGGGCCACAATATTCCACCGAGCACATTGAAGCAACACCAGCTTTCATATGACTGTGTATGTATATTCTCACACCAACTCCACGTTGTTTACCCACGAGTGGTATTAGTTCTCAATGAGCGAACGGATAGTGCCTGTTGGGAAAGCTTAGATAAAAAGGATTGTCTGAAAGACCTGTGGAAGAAAATTCGTTGGCTAACGACCTCTTACACGCTTGACAACATTTATATTGTGAGCCGTGTTGCAATTTGGTATTAAGGAAGGGCTAGTCTAACCTTAGTCAGTCGGTCGGTTTGTAGTGGTATTGGTTCTCAACCACACAATTTAACGTTTGTGACTTAGAGAAGGTCGGAAATGGTGAATGCGGAACACTTAACCATTGTGGCATGACACAAACGTATGGGTGTGGTCGCCCTATGTAACCCTCCGCTTTTCATTTTGAATGTATTATTCTCTTGGTGGTCCAGATATATTCTTCGGAAGTCCTAAGCGGTAACCACTGACCGTCACAATAGAACGAGTCGTTGTCCATAATGAAGTGGCTACTACGTAAGGTTTGATAACTTAGACAGTGACATCATTGCAGATTCACAATCGATGAACACGTCTTTTATTCTAGCAGAAATGATAAATGCACTTAATACCGACCTGAACCACAGTCAGACAACCCCATCGTATCGGAAAAGTATAATGTACTTCAATCTAACTTCCCTATCCTTGATGCTGTGCGATATCCATGTTTCAGTTAGCAGTTTTCAGATATAACTGAAAGAAAATGTTTCTGATTTCCCATTGTTTGTCGCATAGTTTTCTCACCTCGCTAGAACAGTTTGGGTGTATTCATAAGCAATAGAGATAAAACCCAAGGACACAAAAATAATACCACAAAGTGTGGAAAATATATGAATAATATTACGTCATAGAACAGACTCAGTTTATAGTTTGGCGTATCAGTACACGTCAAGTTCACTACTAAAGATGCCATGTAAATTGACAACGCCCTTGTCCGTAACATCTTGATAGTCTAGAGATTCCAAACATAGTCAGAACATAAGTTAGAAATGCAGGAGTTCAAGGATAACATTTAAGAGATATTCGATATGACGAGAAGTGTTTCATCTAACCTAGCTAGCTGTTGCGAGCAGTACGTAGCAGCAGGTACTCAACTGTGATCTGGAGATCGGCATCAACGTTGAAGACTTAATGAACTATTTATTTTAGGGTTATATTTACCGCTACACTGACTAAGATTAGAGCAATCGAGTGACTAGACCAACATCCATAAGAAATTGCTGAAAACCTGGAACCATGCAAAACAAAAACACGAAAAGAACGTAAAGAAATCAACCACTTTATACAGTCTCGTACCAAGGTTATTGGATTTAAGCGGGCTATTCTCATCGAATCTCTACTTCAAGGTTAGAGTGATTAAGTCTTATCTGTGTTTTTGCTTGGTATTTGGGTTATGTATTATACTAAGAATATTCGGAATTTAAAAATTTGCTTTGACTTTTTATATGACTGGCTTCAAAAGTTATATTTACTGAAACCCAATCAACGAATAATGGGGGAATGATTTCGAACAAAGGGGAAAATACGTTGGAAAACGAAAGGGGAAATAATGGGGAAACGCGACAAAATGTCTGCTTTTTCGTCTGTCTGGGGGAATTAATGCGGATATTCCTCTACACGTCCCTCTGTGTTTCGAATGTCGCTGAATTGTCTCCTCTTCTCCTAAATATATGCTGAATTGTCTACTTTTCGCCTAAACATGCACCGATTTATCTTATTTTGCTTCCACTTTTAAAAAAGTTTTGGCATAACCCTGAACGTCTCTTGTGTTCGTCTTTATTTCCACAACACACCACACGAAAACTGCCATCCACGTAGAAAATGGTATATGTTTAAAAAGATTTATTGAAAAGAAGAAAACGTAATATTGTACAACATTATGAGTGGTCGGAAGATGCTAGAGTATCAGTCGTCATGCACTTTAATTGTAACTGCCAAGTCTTATTGTAATTTGAAAAGATCTACAAAAAGGACAGTTGGTGTATTATTAGTTAGACACGTGTACTTAATTGCAAGTACATTTAAAATCAAACAGGCTTTCTCAACACTTAGTCAAAGAGTTTCTCATGCAAGTAAGAAAGTAAGCGCATGTTTAAAAAAACGCTTATTGAAAACGAAGTTGAACATGATAAATATTCCACTGGTTATTTCCTTTCGTAACGCCTACTCGACTATTGAGAATCAAAATAATCTTTTTGTAAATTCTGAAATATAAGGAATAAAAAGTTAACGATATCTAGATGACATTTTTTTGCATACCTAGCTACTTGAAGCTTCGTTTATGGTTATGTCCGTTAACACCTATAGAGCAGCAGAGAATAGTTATCACTTTAAGTTAGTACATACATGTTCTTGATTTCTTCAATGACGCTTTTGTAATGTGTCTCTCATGTCGTGAAAATAACCTTGCGTTGAGCTGTCATACAGTTTCGCAAGGTCTTTTTGGTTGACAAATGATGACAGGAACCGATTAATTAATGCACCTAAAGTTTAAAGGAAACGTATCCTACTTTGTATGCAGCCGTAAAACCTGCACTTCTGATATCGTTGTAACTTTTTATTCCTTATATTTCAGAATTTACAAAAAGATTATTTTGATTCTCAATAGTCGAGTAGGCGTTACGAAAGGAAATAACCAGTGGAATATTTATCATGTTCAACTTCGTTTTCAATAAGCGTTTTTTTAAACATGCGCTTACTTTCTTACTTGCATGAGAAACTCTTTGACTAAGTGTTGAGAAAGCCTGTTTGATTTTAAATGTACTTGCAATTAAGTACACGTGTCTAACTAATAATACACCAACTGTCCTTTTTGTAGATCTTTTCAAATTACAATAAGACTTGGCAGTTACAATTAAAGTGCATGACGACTGATACTCTAGCATCTTCCGACCACTCATAATGTTGTACAATATTACGTTTTCTTCTTTTCAATAAATCTTTTTAAACATATACCATTTTCTACGTGGATGGCAGTTTTCGTGTGGTGTGTTGTGGAAATAAAGACGAACACAAGAGACGTTCAGGGTTATGCCAAAACTTTTTTAAAAGTGGAAGCAAAATAAGATAAATCGGTGCATGTTTAGGCGAAAAGTAGACAATTCAGCATATATTTAGGAGAAGAGGAGACAATTCAGCGACATTCGAAACACAGAGGGACGTGTAGAGGAATATCCGCATTAATTCCCCCAGACAGACGAAAAAGCAGACATTTTGTCGCGTTTCCCCATTATTTCCCCTTTCGTTTTCCAACGTATTTTCCCCTTTATTTCCACTTTGTTCGCCATCATTTTCCATTTATTGGTTGATTGGATCATAATTCCATACCCGTCACCCACGACAGAATTTTCTGTTGAGGAGCCGTATATTCTTGAGTTCCAGCTCAAGCTGTTTGTTGTTTTTAAGGATACTGAGTTCTTCATCATCATTGGTTAGTAAGATTTAGTGTGTAATGTATCTCATCCACAATTTCGGAACTCAGAAGCAAGAAATTTCAGAAAAGTACGAGTTAATTAGGGTCACATTCCTTATTATTTAAATAAAAGTGGTAAAAGCGGCAAGCGCCAGGCAAAAACCGTCTGATAGCTTTAAAAACAACTCTTCATGAAAGTGTATCTCGATAATCAACTGGAGTTTTTCACATATTCGAGAGCTAATATTTCCACTCGATTAACCTAGAAAAAATAGTTGAAGCGGGATTCAAACTTCTGATAGGATGCTGGCAAATCAGTTTGATCAGCCACTAAGCCACGCCCATCGACCTGAAACTACACTTAAAAGTAGGACATCAGCTCTTCATATGTTCCAAATATCCATCATTAGTTATCGCATATAAGGTGAATGTAACATCTTGCTTGTAAGACCACGTGTATGGTATTCATCATTATGATATTGCTAATAATTCTTTTTTAATAATTCAAACTATTTAGTTCCTATTTTAGTATTGTTTCATGTACACGTGTTCTGGCTTTTAGAATAGCTTTATACCAATATGCCTCTTCCACCAGCCCTTCTTGCTCGACTTAAAAAACGTGGTATTGTTTCCGCCGGTCCACAGGAAGAAGGTAGGTTTAATTATAACCACTGACTGGAATTTAGCTGTGGAGGAAGTTTTTGCTGAGAATTATGATGAAGAAAGTGAACCAGTGTTACCAGTATCGTTTGATCAGCCTTTTAACGTTAAGAAATGTTACACGGTCAGTCCTGTACCTATTATCGAGAATGGGGTTTTAATCCATGAATGTGCTGAGTGCCCTAGTCAAGCTAATCCGTATCATGTTTGTTCACCATATTGTTATGAACGATACGGGCGAAGAAAGTTCAACCCTGATCTAACAAACATTCGTTTGAAAAGCAGAATGCTACGTCGTTACCCACTCCCAAGCCATTGGATTGAAGTTGGTGATCCAGTGACTGGAAGGTAAGTCCAACATTTATTATCTGGTTTGTTATTACTTTACCATGACGAAATTAATCCTTAACACTGATCTTAAAATGTACCGGCTGTAAGACTTGAAAATTCTGATTTCCATCCTATGGGTGGTCAAGATTAAGCATTGCCGGAGGGTCCCGGTCTAGGACAAAACAGAACTTTATTGCTTCATGATTTTCGATAGTCTTTCAGCCAATATGCTTTCACAATGAAAAACCTTCCATTATTGAAATAATTAAGCGTTTTTGATATGATTCTTTAATGGATAGATATTATTATTGTTAAACTTGAGACATTTTTATTATGCTTATTACAGTGCTATGTATCACGTAATTTCGGTGATTTATACTGGCCTGTAATTGAAAATTCTAATGTTGTTAGGTTTTTAGAGGAGACATTTCATTTAATAGACTTCAGTTAAGTTAACGTGTAATGGACTGAACTAACCCTTATACCAATCTTTAGTTTCGCATGGTTTACGCTAACAACGTTGACGTAACAATATAGTTAGAAAGGTTTAAAAAAATAAGTTTACAACTAGAAACGAGCTCTCCTTAACGCTAATAATTCTTTAAGAATTTCATAAGTGTAAGCGTTGACAAAAACTTACCTAAACTAATGTAATTTATTTTTATTGATAATTAAAATAACCCATAGTGTCATTGATTAATCTGTAATTCTCTTTTTTTTTCCATCATCAGGTAATATTGTCCTTGATGTATGACGACGTATTTTTCTCTTTTACAGATTTTATTACTGGAATACTAAAACAGATGATGTATGCTGGTTGTCTCCGTTACATCCACGTGCTAAAATCAGTCAACCTGGTAGTATTGTTCGGGCCAATACGTTACGTGAACGTGACGCAGCTCGAGCTGCAGCTGAAGCTGCTACTGCTGCAGTTTTAGCAGCAGAACGAAAAGATTCACGGCGTAGATCTAGTGATTCCGGCAGTAATCGATCAGGCAGCGAGAGTGAAGATAATGATTCTGATGAAATAAAAGAATCTAAACGATCTAGACGTGAAACATCTAGATCTCCTGAACATGATACTAATAGAGCCTTGTTTAGACGAAATAATTCATCTCGCTGGCAGGATGCTGAATCAGAAAATAATCACCAGAGAAGTGTATCCAATGATTATAATGATTTCAACCAATCAACTAACGAACATGAGGCTGTAACACAAAAACTATCTGATACAGCTAATTTTAACGAGTACAATCAATTAGAGGATGAAGTTGATGAAGATGAAGAATCACCCGATGGAGTTCCTTTAACTGAAAATTATTATAACAACAGTCATAACCAAAATATTGAAATGGAATCTAACTTACAAAACTCTAGAGATGAGTATCCACCACCTCCTACATTTCCTCCTCCTCCCCCTCCCCCACCACCACCAGCTCATCTAATCTATCCTCCAACCCAATGGAACCGACCATCTGAATCATCTTCATTGTTTCCATCACAAGTTAAAAATCACTCTGATGATCACGCTAGTGGTACTACTACACGCGGTTGGAATCAACCAGCAGAGACATCTGATAATAATCGTTTTAGATATAGAGATAGGGATAGGAAACGTAAGTGGATTTATACAATATTTTTAGAAGTATTTCATTATTATTATTACTTCCATGAAGTAGACTCGGCTTTATTATTTAAATAGTAACAGTTATCCAGTATTTTTAAAATAAAGATCACAGGGTTTGTTACAAGCATGTGTAGATTCTAGTTACCATGCTTCGTTCTAACACGTTACAAGAAAATCAACAAGACAAAATAGCAGCTCAGAAATACCAGATATCATAACATTAGTTGGTGAAATACAACCGACAAAAACAAGTAAATCTACAGAACAACAATACCGAATAACACAATGCTTAAGATGAAATACAAATAAATAACCGTGAAAATTTCCATTTGGACATTTATTAGAGAGTGAAAAAGCATTCCTTTTTGATTAGTTTTTCTTCAAGACTCTACACTAATATGTATTTATTGTTGTAACCTTAGAGAAAAACAAGATGAGTTCAAGGCGTTACTTGAGTATGTTGACCTTACAGAGTTATTAATATTGGAGCAAGCAAAGAGTACTGGCTATATATGAGATTGTAAACCTTTGCCGACTAACGTGATTCGAATGTGTTACAAATCCTTAGCAATTTGCGACATTGACGTCTTATACCGGTTTTGTGTAGGTGGAACTTGAAGGCAATTAGCTGAGCTCACGGAAAGATGGGTAGATAGTCAAACATATGCGACTTGTAATGTGTATTTTTCCTATCACGTGTATTTTTCATAATAATATGTGTTAGCCAGGCTGATAACATGTTCTTAGTCTGAGCTGAGTGGACGTGAGGTAGATTAATCTCTGGGTATGTTTTATAGTATTGCATGCCAATCCTATATATTACAGTATCGTTGTTATTCGTCCTAAGAAGTCAAGCGTCCCATTAGTGTTCAGAGGGGGGGATGTAACAATAATTCATCTGACTAACATAGAAGTTGAGAAGCTAGTGATGGCCAGGCCGGAACGTATAATCAACCTATAGTCACTGATTGTTGATCTAATTCGTGTAGGGTGCAAATTTCCTGACTGGGGTTTTCGAACTAGTCTTAATCTACAGTTTGAGATTCTAAGTAGATCTTCCTAATCGGTCAAAGTAGCACTAGAACTATTTTCTATCTTTGGACTGCGTCGACAATATAGTTTTTAATTCATTGCCTTGATAATTTTTACTGCCTTTGCTTGTGTATAGCAATCCCTATTTGAGGTACATATACACATTTAAAACATTAAGGTTTAGTGTAATAGCTTATTCTTTATTAATTTAAATGTATTCACCAATATTTATAATTTAGTTCAGATTTTCTTACCGAGTTGCAAAGTCTTCAATCCATGCAGTTTGACTAAAGCTTTCGTTATAAAATGTCTAATCGAAACTGTAGATCGTCATTACTTTAGCGCAGAAGTGTCGAGATAGGATACTAACAGACCTCGTTTTCTGTCATATTTAATTACTTTTTCTTATGCTTCCTTGAAGGTCGCGCAGCAACTCTCGGACCCTTAGACCCAATGGATCCAGCGTCTTATGGTGATATACCACGTGGAACATGGAGTTCAGGCTTAGAAGGGGTTACTGGAGCACCATCGGCTAAGACAGGTGTAGATAGCACTGCATCGGGACCATTATTTCAACAACGTCCATACCCTAATCCTGGTGATGTTTTACGTGCAAATGCTGCAGCTAAAGTCCATGAAGAGGAAAGGCAAGATGAATCTAATAACTGAAGTTTTACTTCTGAAGTTGTTCTGTACACTCATTGTTTACTTTTCAACAGAATTTCAATTTATTAAAAAAAACCATTAAATAGTTTGATGTCTTCGAAAGATACTTTCTCCATCGATGAATTATAAAAAAAATCATACTTAAATAGTTATTCATGAGCGAAAAACATCAGAAAGAACAATTGTTTCTAATGACTTCCTCATTAAGTTTTAGTTATCAAGTCCAAATATATCGTTATTACTTTATTACTCAGGCCTGTTATCCCACCTGGAGGAGTATAGGTCGCCCACTAGCATCCTCTATCGAACTCTGCTTTGGACAATTATTTCCAGTTGCTATTCATCCTTCTCATTATTTTTTTCTGGTTAGCGTTTCTTTAGAGTTAGTTTTCTACAGGATGGTGTCGCTAACCCTATGCCCAACCCTACTCCTTTACTCGGGCTTGGGACCGGCAGTAACTCTAGAAGAGCTACAGGCGGAGTTTCATGCCTACTTCCGATTCCTGACGTAATGTGTTCTTCGGTCTTCCTGTTTTCCGTTTTCCTTCAGGATTCCAAGCTAAAGCTTGCCTCGTGATACAGCTTGGTGATTTCAATAATGTATGTCCTATCCACTTCCAACGTCTTCTCCTAATTTCCTCTTCAGCTGGCAGCTGACTTGTTCTCTCCCACATTAGGCTGTTGCTGATGGTTTCCGGCCAACGGACATTGAGTATCTTTCGTCGACAATTTTTTATAACTACTTGTACCATTTTGATGATGGTTGTATTAGTTCTCCACACGACTATGCAGAGTAGTGCATCTTATTAATTATGTATGACGATGACGACTTTCTCAAGTACTCCGTGGTGTCAAAGAAGTTTCATAATGTTCTATCCACACTGTCAGTCGCCTTCTCGTAGTTAAAGAAGTTGACGTATAATCATAAGTTCCATCCAAATGATTGTTCGACGATCATACCTAATGTCGCGATTTAGTCTGTGCACAACCGATCCTCACGGAATTTAGCCTACTGATCTCGAAGCTGGACGTCAACTGAATCTTTCATCTGGTTCAGCAACACTGTTGGACACTTCCTGGTACCGATAATAGTGTGTTGCCTCTGTAGTTGAGTTCTCACACTTACTCAGATCTCCTTTCTTTGGTATGTTGGTGAAGTGTCCTTCTTTCCAGTCTGTCGGCACTTGTTCTTCCACCAAAATCTTCCTGAATGGAATGTGGGCATGTCTGCGGTTACTTCTATGTCTGACCTCAGCGCTTCATCTGGTATATTGTCAGGTTCTGCTGCCTTCCCACTCTTCATTTGTCTGATTGCCATCCTGATCGCTCCGATCGTTGATGCAGTGATATCTATAGGAAGCTCTGTAGGTGCTACTTCGATATCCGGTGGATTCGACGGAGCTGGTCTATTTGAGGGTTACTCGAAGTGTCCCACTCATCTGTTCCTTTGTTCTTGAATCTCAGTGATTAGCTTGCCTTCTTTGTCCTGGAGCAGTCAGACAGTCAGTCAGTAACAACGTAGAACCTCGTACGTACGTACGTACATCAGTTCGAGTTGCCACACCACATTAGCACAGAGATGCAGTTGTTGATTCAAATCCCTTAGTGGTAGAGGAAGTAAGAGTATAAGCAGTAATCGGAAAGATTAGAGTTTGAAGATGTTATTCAAGGAGTATAATCCAGTGAAATAAATGTGGAAAGAGAAAACAAGAAAGGGACATGAAGAATTCAGAAGATTAGAATTTTGGAGAACACAAAGAGTGAGTGTAATTGTGAACGATTTTGGGCCATGTCATTCAAGGTCCCTAACCATCGGCTGCTATCATCTCGCGGTCCCCAACCAGGTAATATACACCTACCACCATGACTCAATTCACTTGTCAGTGACTTCATTGACTTGTGCCATGTTTTGGTCTGATCGCCCCTAGCTTTCTTCCAGTCTACTCCTATACAACAAACATCGCACATCGAGGCAGTCGATGGTTGGGCATACGTAACACGTGTCCCAGCCATCTCAACTGATGAAGTTTCACTACTTCATCAATTGATTTGCCATCCTTACCTAGTACCCGTTTCCTAACAACTGCGTTACGTACTCGATGCCTGGACCGGTTTATCTGGTTTACTATATTTCCCTGCAAGTTTATTCGTTGCATCATATAGCTGTTTCACATTTCCTTCTGTCGCTGCTGGGTATTCCACGTATTTCTGCTTCTCAGCTCTAGTGAAGCCGTTCATTTGCTTGTTTGTTTCTGTGTATTCAGCTTGTGCCTTGACTTTGCCCGTTCTTGTTCGGCTGTTGTTAATTGCTGTCTTCCTGTTGTATTTGGTCGTCGCAATTGTTGTGCCGGAAAAAGCGCTGATCACTTATACTCGGAACGAGGGATCCCTGGGATTCTCACGGCGTGAAGTAAGAACGCAAGACTGGTATAAGTGATGATTTATAAGCCCCAAAACACGACAACGACGATGATCAAAATAGTCTAAAATACACTGGTTTATATATTGATTGTACACCCATTTTGATTAATAATTAGGATTAAATCACATACTCAGTTATAATACATCACTTACTGAGCATAGTTCATTTCAATTGAATACAAGAATATCGTATATTATGCAGAAGAAAATATCATACTGGGAAAACAAATCAAATACTACACTGAATGATCCTCACGTTGAATCAAAAATGGATGTCAATGTTGAATAAAACTCATAATGAGTAAATCAATCGAAAATTGATTTTTCTTTACATTATATCATAATTATACAATAAAAATATACGTTTAATATTGACCCATAAAAGGATCCCAAAATTACCATTCATTATGTTTCTCAGGTCCTCACACTTCCTCTCTTGAATCGTGTCTAGGGTTTCCATAGAAATTCATTCCTTATGACAATGCTTCTTGCGGCTCAGAACCTCCTGACACATTGAAGCTGGTGCTTCTTTGATCTCTTTCTAGTTGTCCTTCATAGTAGTTTCTTCTTCCTTGAGTAGATCTTGTAAGGCTGGAACCTGTTGTTGAGAGCTATCTTGAATTCACCGAGTTTTTCAGTATCTCGAAGGAGGGCTATATAGAACCTCTGTAATGTTGTTTACCCAGCTGTCCAGTGTTTCTCAACTTCATTTTCATCTTGGTAACCATCAGGTTGTGATCTGAAACTATGTCAGTCCCTCCCTTAGTTCTCACTTGTTCCATTAACCTTCTGAATTTCCTAGTGATGCAAATATGATTTATCTGGTTCTCGGTAGTGTGGTTCAATAAGACTTATGTAGATTTGTGTATGCGTTTGTGTGGGAATATTGTGCCGCGTATAACTAAATCGTTGAATGCACATAAATTTGTGAATCTCTCGCCATTCTCGTACGTTTCTCGCGGTCAGTCCATATCGGCTCGTGATATCTTCATAGTCGGTATTGCCCATTCCGAATTTGATTTTAGGTCTCTCATCAGGATGGTCAGGCCCTTTCCTCGGCAATTCTCTACGATCGACTGGAGCTTCTAATAAAATTGATCTTTATCATTTTCATTGCTATCGTTGACAGGTGCATAACACTGCATAACATTCATTGTGATTCCATCCTTCTTTGTTTTGAAGGATGCTTTTATGATCTTCGATCCACGAGATTCCCATCCTATGAGTGCTTTTCGTGCTTCCTTGGATAGCATCAGAGTGACTCTCTGTATGTGTTAAGCACTTTTTTTCATGACAAGAGTACAACAAAATCTCTTTCGAATCTAATATTTGCTGTCCAGCCTAGGTTCCGTGGGTTTCACTGAATCCGAGAACCGCCAAGTTGAATCTGCTCATTTCCGTTGCTATTTGACTGGTCCTTTCAGTCTCCTACATTGTTTGGAGATTCCATATACCGATACTAAATGCTTCTCTAGTTGTTTGGACGGGTGTCGGCCTCATGATTTCCGAAGAATTTTGGCTTTCATCGTGAGGCGTCATAATTCTTTTAAATGAAGACCCTTCGATTCCCAGGCTAGAGTATAGATGGTTTAATTAGTTTTTTTTCTGGCTAACGCTTCCTAGGCAATGCTGTTTTCTACGGGTTGTGAACCCCAACCCTTCTCCTTTTACCCGGGCTTGGGACCGGCAGTAACCCTAGAAGAGTTTATATCATTATTACAATGGGCAAAATGTTCAATTTGAATCATTTCCGTGTGAATTTTGTTAGTCATTGGTTTGAATAGTCAGATATTATTGTCTAATATAAGAAACTTTTGATATTGGACTCCAATGAAATAAAATTTTATTGCTCTAAATATTAAATAAAGACTACTAATTCAACATCCATAATCAAGATAAAGCTATATAACTCAATTTTACAATGAACTACATTTCTTATTCAACTACTAAAAGCCTAAAACATTAAGGATACAGATAGTTCATTTGTGATTTATCTGTTCAAGAAAATTAAACTTAGTTTAAAACAATTAGTCCCTTTGATAAATTTCGATAATGATATTAGAAGACGAAGATTATCAGAACTATGTGATATATTAGCGCAATACATTTCGAACAATCTGGTCACACATATACTTGTTAAGAGCATTTATATATAAAAATAAAAGGTCAACTAGACAGGAAATGCTCTTAACAAGTATATGTGTGACCAGATTGTTCGAAATGTATTAAACTTAGTTTGCTTCTTATAAATGCTGTACTATAGACATACCTATTTTCCATTGAAAATGATGACTTCTGCTCATGACTTACTTCACTACCACCAACGTTAATTAAATGAGACTATATTATGCGAGAATATATATTATGTGTATGTATTTTTATCATTATCATCATCATTTTAAAAGAACACTGATAAACAAGAAAGTGTTTACATAAAATGAGAATTAAGGAAAGTAATTAACATTCTACAATGCATATATGTATATTTGCAATTACTCTGAGGCACTATATAATATACGTGAAAAAGATGAATAAAATGAAATCAAAACAGGATACATCATGATAATAAGGAGTGATTAATTACGAAAATGAAAAAAATACAAACAAAAGCTCAGCTATTTGTACATGCATACATAATTGTTTTGTTTTTCAATGTAAGAATGCCGCCTAGTATATATGGCTTACAATTCTCAATTAAACAATCAAATTGGATAGATAATTGTGCGAATAATGACCACATAACAAATTTCAACTAGTTATATGAGGTAATAATTAAATTAAATCGACAATTGGAGTAACATTAATAATAATAAAAGCCTAATCCAAT